ATCTATCATTTGGCTCCTGACTGGCATGCCAGCGCTATCAATTCCTCAGGCGATGTCGACAAGGCAAGGTTTACGGGGCTTGTCACATGGCAACATGGGAGCTCCTAGCCAGGGGACTGGTCTAGAACAGTGAAAACAGTCACTGCAGTGCGCCACGAACTACATGCCTCAAACGCTCAAGTGCTGGCTAATCATAATAGAGTTTTGTATTTCTTTGGCTTTTCCTCTCCAATTCCGGGGATTATGACATTACCACTTTGTGACGCCTCCATCAACAAGAATATCGGAGCCCGTACAATAACTGGTGATTGGTCAGTATAACTGAAAGTTTAAAAAACGGTGGCAATAACTTACGCGCTTGCATCACTGGCCAGAAAGACACAGGCCCCCTTGATATCATCCGGCTCCGCAACACGACGGTTCATGATCTCGTCCTTCCATCCCTCGATCAAGTCTGGGAATGGCGCTGTCATGGCTGTCTTGACATAGCCGGGGCTGATTGAGTTTACTCGGATCCCATGCTCTTGAAGCTCTGCAGCAATTGGTGCAATCATTGCTCTCACCGCACCCTTGGTACCGCAGTAGGCTGTCGACCTCTGAGATCGAATAGCCATATGCGAAGCAATACTGGCCACGAGGATAATACTTCCGCAATTGGTCTTGTTTCCGATCATGGCTTGGGCTGCCAGTTTCGCTGAGAAGTAAACGCCTTTAGCATTGACGGCAAATAACTTGTCAAAGTCTTCCTCTTCTGTGTCGAGGAAATGCACATTCTTATTGACCCCTGCGCATGCAACCAGGATATCTAGCCTGTTGTTGAAGTCTGAAGCCACAGCGGCGAAACCTTCTTTTAGACTCGACAACTTGGTTACATCCACAATGTAGGATTTGATCTGGACCCCGTAGCTGGAAATCAGCTGTTCAACTTCAGGAGCAGAGGGCTCAATCACGTCGAATATGGCAATGTCGGCACCGGCTTCAGCCAACCCCTGGGCAAACGCGAAACCGCATCCTCGACCTCCCCCAGTAACAACGGCTAAGCGGCCAGCTAATGAGAACTGCGAGGCAATGTGAGCATGTGATCTGGGAACGCAATCAGTCTCAAGTAACTGACCTTTGACATTTTGAACAACGTATAAGATATAATTGGTTGATATTAGAATAATCGCAATGCGAAAGAAACTGTAATAATTTGACGACTGCGATGTTCAGTGCAAGAGTTCACGTACATGTCAAATTGCCTTTGTAGTGAGTGAATCACGAGACTGGGTGTTTTTCTACGATAGAGTTCCAAAGTCTTACGGACCATCATACGACGGACTGCCATCCGATTCAACCTTCAACCTCGTACCAGAAACTGAGTTCAAGAATGGGGGTGGGGGTTGCAACGGCCCGGTCTCACAGACTCCACTTGCGATAACGCCTGATACCGCCAGCGGGAACTAATCTGATACCGATCAGGGGGTAAGTGGGGGTATGTCCCATCTCTCAAGTGCTGTAACGCAAGAACCCCGCGTTTTGGGAGTATCTCTGAGCTCAAGTTATATGGCATTGGACCTGACCGAGTTGTCAAAGGTTGACGTCAAGAGCACATCTCCTAAGCATATTATATTGACTTTGCAGATAATTACTTGAAGAAAATGGGCAAAAGGAAGGTTTTGGTCTGGTAAGGATCGCATTTGACCAATAAGCATTTCACTAACCAGGGTACTGCTAGTTACGGGGTGGATATCGATGCCGTGGCCGGTTGGCTGGGATCATACGGAGGCGAAGACAGCACAAGCGACATCAGCAGAGGTCAGTAAAACAATGCCCGTTGCATTTAAGCTGCTGATTATCGGTCAACAGGTCTCTGGGCGGGAACAATCGGTACTCGGCGATTGCTGAAGCTTTTTCAGAAGTACAACATTAAAGCCTCATGGTTCATCCCTGGACATAGCCTGGAAACATTTCCAGAAGAGTGTGCTATGGTCCGAGATGCCGGACATGAGATAGGTGTAAGTAAATCAGCATACCGATATCTCGCATTACGCTAAGCGACAGCAGCTTCATGGCTACAGCCACGAAAACCCCGTGGACATGACTTTCGAGCAGCAAAAAGATGTCTTGCACAAGACATGGAAGTTACTGACTGACTTCTGCGGGAAGCCACCCAAGGGAAGCGTGGCTCCTTGGTGGGAAACAAGTGAAGAAGGGACCGAGTTGATGCTTAGCTACGGAATTGAGTATGACCACTCAATGTCTCACCACGACTGTCAGGCATACTGGCTGCGGACGGGCGACGCATGGACCAAGATTGATTACACCAAGAAGGCCGAGGAGTGGATGAAGCCACTGACAAAGGGGAAAGAGACAGGCATGGTCGAAATACCTGGCTCTTGGTATATAGATGACCTACCGCCTATGATGTTTATCAAGAACTCTCCAAACTCACATGGATGGGTCAACCCTCGGCAAGTTTTCCCTGAAGTTAGGCTTTGCTCAAACTGACAGGTGATGTAGAGATGTTGAAGATATCTGGAAAGATCACTTCGATTACTTCTACCGTGAATACGGTCAGTGATCCGCCAAGCTAGATGGAGGAAATGTTTCGGTTTACTGACACTCTACAGACGAATTCATCTTCCCAATGACCATCCATCCCGATGTCTCGGGTAGACCTCACGTTCTGCTGATGCACGAACGTATCATCGAGCACATCAACAAGCATGAAGGTGTCGAGTGGGTCACAATGGGAGAGGTCAGTTGCTTCTGAGTCTTAGGGAGTTCTGTACCATTTACGATACTAACGGTTATTAGATGAGCGACTACTTCAAGAGCAAGAATCCTGCACCAGAAGGTGCTCTCATGCCGGCCAGTCACGAGGAGGTGATGAAGAAGTTTCAGGAGTCGACGTAGAAGTAGTGAGATTACTGGCCACCAAGGTAGAAGCCAGAGGCTTAGAGAAGACAAAGCCGAACAATAAACATTATTAGTCATGATCCCTAGCTACTATTGTTTGTAATCAGTCACGCATCGAACTAAAACGGGTACTCCTGTGGAATATCTTTCTCTTTTCCCTTTTCTGCCATTTTTGTAGACAACTCGGCGTCCGCGGGTTCACGAACTTCACGATGTGGAATGGGACCAGTAAAATGAGCGGACTTGGCAAGCCACTTTTCATTCTCTAGTTGTCCCGATGCCGACTCCGCAACAACAAGTCCGCAAAATGAACTGATCATGAGACCGATAAATGTAAAATATAAAATACCAGTAACAGTAGCTCAAATATGCAATACCTCATCCATACAAGTCATTTTTTACCTTGTTATATACTTAAGCCAGACATCACATCATGGCGGTCAAAGCGGCATTCGTCGGAGCCTGCGGCGCTACCTTGCGGCATGTGCTAGCTTGGACATTACTCGATGGCCATAAAGCAGCTGCTCGTGAGTTCAAGTTCCTATACTCCAGATCTACAAGCTAATTCGTGATGTATAGTTGTTCGAGATCCATCGAAATTGAAAAAGACTCTCTTGGATCTCGGCGTATCTGAAGAGATCCAACAGTCACAACTCATCGTTGTCACAGGATCATCTCGCGATGTTTCCACAGTCCGCAGCCTTCTTCTCAACGACCCCGAGATCATTTTCAGTGGCATCACAAGCACTTGGAAACTCCGATTTAATCCGTTCCACCCGATTGCTATGGATGATGCCACGGTCACTGGCGACTCTGCTGCTGCGGTGATGCAGGCGTTAGAAGATCTTGTTTCTACCAACAGCATCTCAAATTCACCGATCTACGCCCCAATCTCATCAACTGGACATGGATCTCGTCGTGATCAACCGCTTAGCCTCATCCCGCTCTATTGGTGGTTGTTGAAAGAGGCTCAGACCGACACTGCAGCTCTTGAGCGTGTTACTCGTGAGGCAGCGACGCAGAAGGACTCTGGTCTGGGTGGTTATGTGATGCTTCGACCTCCATTGCTGACAGATGGGGAGATGAAAGGGACGAAGAAAGTACGCGTTGGGTGGATTTGGGAAGATGATGTTTTGAGAAAGAATGATGAGCGAGAAACTGGTGTTCAAATAGGGTACACTATCAGCAGGGTGGACTTGGCAAGATGGATGTTTGAAGAGCTTATCCAAAGGAACATCCAGAGTTGGAACGGGAAGTGCGTAAATTTGGTATACTGAACTATATATTAATGGCTCTGTGAAACCCTAGACTCATTATAGGTCATCCTGAACTTTAACAATGAATTATCTCTAAGCAGGAAGGCCACATACCGGCCGTGACTCGAAGCAAATGATTCGAGAAGTAAAGGCTAAAGATGTGCTCAAACCTTGAGTTTCGCAATTGGCGACTCATTGGGCTTTAAGGTCTCTGACTTCCGTGGCAAGGTTCACGGCCTGACTCACAATCTGGAATTTACTTCAACTTGACTTTGAACACGACACTTTACTTTGTAATAGTATTGACTATATAAGCCTGCGCTTTGTCTACTTAACGATTCTACTGCTAAATCTCATTCACACCTTTATACATCCTTCTCGTTTATTTCACATCAGCCAGAGAAGAAGAGTTGCAATCTTGCATTGCCCCTCTCCTTAGATATCTCGATCCTCGGAATGTACGTCTGCCCAAGCGTCACAAAGAGGGCCCCGCTGCCCCGACACGAAATCTTGTCTGAGATTCGTGGTCAACTGGAAGCATGCCATCGACAAGATATCTTTGTTGCAGACGCCCGACACAAAGTCCGACCCTGTCTGCTCCGCACTAATGTCTGCTCTGACGATTGTCACGTAAAGGTGGAGGATATGACGTCAAAAGATCTGGAGGGTTGTTGCAATAAGACCGTGCCGATATATATTGTGCATCGCACCAAGCACTATTCACTACTCCACTGTGCTTTGCACAACTGGCTATACAACAAATGGTATCGGCCATACAGGAATGATATTGAGTACCACCAGTTTATTTCGAAGCAATTTTACCCATGCAGACCTTTTCCCGATATGTCTGCAGTATCGCTGGTCACGCTTATAAACGACCTACATGGGAGAATCTGCGACCAAGTAGCGATATATCAACGAGAGGTCGTGACCCTTCCCTTACAACCCGCCGCACTTGGGGGTCCATGCTTTCGAGATCAGGAGTTTTTGATCCTACAGACGATATTCAAAGCACTTACAATCATTCTTTTAGAAGACGACTTTAATGTTCGTGTAACAGATGTGGGGAAGTTACCAGTGCTCATTACCCTCACAGGTGAAGACAGCGGGCTAAGCCAACCGCTGAGCTTCAAATCCATCAGCCAACACGTTACAAAGTTCATATCGGATACAGCAGTTAAGGTGCCTCTGAATATAGCCATTGACTTTGTCATTGCCCAGAATCAACGGGAAATTGCAGTCTTTGGTACGCAGCCCGACCCCGTCAAATCAACGCTGGGGTTTCGAAGCACCCTAAACGTGGGCCTTGAAGCCTTGCCTGCTGTTGTGAGGTCTCTTGGTGGAGGAGACGAACCGATTGAGATGCCGAGCTCAACTTGGGTTGATACCGCGATTCATAGTGGTTGGCCTAGAGTCAACGCCTTGGATGATGAGAAGTGGTATCGGCGGGAAGAGAAAAACGAGCGATTGAGGTTACTTCGACGAGTCGCTGGTGTAAACCCTAGCTATGCCAAGAAGTTTGATCGCCGAAAGAGCATTTAATTGGAAGGCTTATGGCAAGTACTCTAGCATGGCCTGTTTCAACTAGAAAGGACGGCCAATTAAATAAGCTCTCAGTAATGTAAAACGTTTAGCTGATGAGTTAATCCATCTTGTAACTTCGCGTCAACTTGTCGGCTTTCGCCATCTCATCAGACCTTTGTGGCAGCTTCCTTATGTACATTACGGGCCATAGACTACTTTAATATCCCTTTCACAACGCGGTCAATTACCTCAGCAGCCCCAAGCACTTTCTCCTCCTCAAGTTTCCGTCCGACAATCTGCAGCCCGACTGGGAGATTCATCGCAGCCATTTCGCCTTTGTCCTTGTTCCAGAGTCCCTGGTTCCATTCATCTTCAGCACCCCTAGCAGAATATGAGAACGGTGTGTCAACATCCTCTGACTGTATCGTTCCGCCAGGTATCACCATCGCGGTATAGTCAAGGACATTCCAGACCTTTGTATACCCCACCCAACCGCATCCACCGTGCCGGACAGCGGTATGCGGCATAACGGGCATGAGAATCACGTCAGCCTTTCTACCAGTGGCAGACTGGAGGGAGTTCCACTTCTCCAAATATCCCTGTTGGAGATCCCACTTCTTCTTGTTGAGCTTCCAATATTCGTACACCGAAATTGCTTTGCCCTTGTTGACAAGTCGCTGGACGTGAGGGATAAATGGCTCTCCGGCCCTTGATATATCTTGGCGGATATCTTCACCACCGTCAGCGGTATAAAACATATCCTGTTTCAAGTTTAGCAAATGTGGTCTCAAATTTGACGCCGAGAGCATTACCATCGTTCTTATGCACTGTTCGTGGAGTTCAGTGTTCCATTCCACAATCTCATGACCCTCGTGCTTCAAAGCCTCAACCGCAACTCGCATTACTCGTGTTATCGGTGGATGTGGTCGAACGACCCCGTCGTCCATAAGAACACCGATAGTAAGTGGTCTACTATGCATTTCTTCATAAAAATGACCCCGCCAAGGAAGTGGTGCACAGCGTGCATCATATTCCCATGGCTTTGACTCAATCAAGCTGTGCATGGCACGTTTGATCATGTCTAAGTCTCGTGCCATCGGACCAATTGAGGATGGAACATGTTCCTGTCCCTCTGTGGAAACGGGCACGCCTTGGTATGGTAGTCTCGTGCTCTGGTGACAAGTAAGCAGGATATTGGTGACTTCTCGAACATTAACAACCTACACTCGGCTTCAATCCATATAGACCCATCATATGGCTTGGAATGCGAATACTTCCACCAATATCCGTACCCCATCCAAGCATAGAGGCACCACAAGAAATCAGGACAGCCTCTCCGCCTGTAGAGCCACCTGGTGTGTAACCCTTATTCATGGGATTGGTAGTTAACCCCCAGAGGGGATTCTCCGTCTCACACCACTAAGTGCCTGTAAGCCAAGTTGCTCAGCCTGGATTGAGTTCAGTCGCTCACCATGATACTCTGCGGCAAGTTTGACTTGGCGATAACGATAGCTCCCAGTGACTTTAGCATCTCTACCAATACGGCATCCTCAGTAGCGGGATTGAAAGATCGTCCGACATAGCCCAGGGTGCTATCATATCCTTTAATGTTAAATTGGTCCTTGAGAGTAACCACCAAGCCATGCAGGGGCCCGATCGGCTTTTTGTTGCTTGTCATGTAAGCATCAAGCACTTCAGCCTGTCGCAGCGCATCTTCGAAGGCAACTTCCGTTAAACTAGAGTCACTTTAGCTTTTGATGCCGGAGTTCATGAGATGCATCTAACCAGTTGTACTATTGAAACAAATCGTCATTAGAAAGGTAGTGCCTATCAATTCGTCACGTAAGAAACACACACCTCTTGGTGAACTTGAATCGCTCTGTATAGAAACGCATTAATTGACTACACTGAACTTGGAGTAATCTTAATCACGTACCGTCCAATCAACCCTTGCACAACGGTTTTGCATGTCAGCTGCTTATCGGATATAAGGCGTAAACTCTGGGCTGCATCGACAAGCTGGTTGATATCGACAAGCTGCAAGTCTTTGTTATTCTCAAGTTCCAATAAAGCCTTGGACAAAATATCACGCTGCAGTTGTTTCTTGCGCTCAACCGTTGACTGCCAAGGAAGAGGTTCAGGATCAATTGAACCAGGTGCCATCGTACTATTCTGTTAGAGAATTCTACAGCAAGTCACTAAATTCCTCTCCTCGCTATAATAATACGAGTCTTTTTCTGTAGGGAAGGGAGGTCGCGATCTGCAGCACGACCCCATCTTTGAAAATACCCTACCAAACCCCGCGCGTACACCGATAAAAGCAAGGTTTTAGTCGAGTCAAAAGCCGAATCGCCGAGATAACGATAGCCAGAGGCGGTTGAGAATCGGGAGTGGGGGTGGACTCGACGCTAGTTAGCTTACTGATGATGGAGCCTGACTGATCGAATGATGGTGCTGCTACATTGTCGTCAACGGATGAGACGACATCTAGCGGAAGACGCCGCAGGAAAGTCTTGAATTATCCGTTGGTAAGAACCGGCTTGATTGAAATATCCGAGAGGTGAATGTGTTGATGAGATCAAATGATATACTGTCAAACACCATCATCACTCAGTACAGTACCCATTCACATTACACTGCCAACAACATGGCCATCACGACAAGCACGAATGGTGACAGCAACGGACATCACGATGCCGATATCCATGATGTCTGTGTTGTAGGAGCTGGCCCTTCTGGCCTCATGCTGAGGTGAGCTTCCAAATTGCTGTTCGCCTCTTTCCGAACTGATAATTTCTCCAGTGTCGTGTTGGCAAAGCTTGGTCTCTCAGTCAAGGTCATCGATGAGAGGCCCGATCAGACAACCGTGGGCCGCGCTGATGGTATCCAACCAAAGACCATTGAGACGTTGCAGATGCTGCGAATTGGCGATGATCTTGTACAAACAGGCGTCAAGGTTCATGACATCTGCATGTGGCGAGGTTCACCAACTGAGGGACTTCGCCGTACAGGACGTGAAGTCCACTATCCATCTTCAGTGGTAGACGTGCTACATCCCTATATCCTTTTGTGCCATCAGGGCATGATGGAAAGCACATTTATTACCGACCTGCGAAAAAGCGGTGTTGAGGTCACTCGAAGTCACACGTTTCGAGGCGTAGCAGACTCTTCAGAGCATCATCATCTACAGATCGAATGCGACAAAGACGGTGAAACACGTACATCTATCCCAGCCAGATACCTAGTAGGCTGTGACGGTGCTCGTTCAGCAGTACGAAACGCCATTCCCGGCGCGGCCTCTCAAGGAACGCCCCATAACTCTGTTTGGGGTGTGTTGGACGGGGAACTGGATACCGACTTCCCTGACATCTGGAGCAAGACCGTCGTATTCTCCGAGGAACACGGATCAGTCCTACTTATTCCACGTGAGCGCAACATGACTCGCCTGTACATCGAGATGAAGAGTTCGGTCACTTCCAAAGGGCTCGGTCAGGAGTTTGTCATGGAGCAGGCACGTCTTATTATGGCTCCTTACACTGTCAACTGGACATCAGTCGAGTGGTTCGGCAACTACCAAGTATCCCAACGCTTCGCAACACGGTTCTTGGACCCAACTCAGCGAGTATTCATAGCTGGAGATGCTAGTCACACACACAGTCCAAAGGCTGCACAGGGAATGAACACCAGTGTCCATGACTCTTGGAACTTGGGCTGGAAGCTCAACCTTGCCGCGCGCGGTTTCGCCAAGGATGGAATTCTTCTACAGTCTTACGAGCAGGAACGGAAGAAGATCGCGGAAGATCTCATCAACTTTGACTTCGAACACGCCAATGAGATCGCTGGAGGCGACTCCCAGAGACTCGCTGAGAATTTCCGCAAAAACACACGCTTCATCTCGGGAGTGGGGGTTGAGTACGGTCCCAATGAGCTGAACCATCCTCTAGATGCCGCTCCTGGTGGCGATGCTAAGCCTGGCTGTAATCTACCCCAAGCAAAGGTTACGCGCTACATAGATGCTTGCCCAGTTGATGTTCAGCTTGATGTCCCAGTTCTCGGCCAGTTCCGAGTCTATGTAGTCGCTCCGAACCTTACGGATCATCAAGAGAGTGGCTTCATCAAAGGGCTCGATGAGTCTATCTCAACACCAAACTCGTTCGTATTCCAGCTTGGCAAGTCAGCGCAGGCTTCATATCAGCAGAAGCCTCGTGCCAGCCGAGCCGATGATGTTTACGTGCGGCCAGAGCGATACACACCAGTCAACCAACTAATCACATTTGCACTTCTTAGTAAGTAAAGTCTTTTCAATTGTCACTTGATCCCAGTCACTAACTTGCGGAATCTTCACAGCCTCTACAGATAAGAACGAGTTTGAGCTCTCAGACTTGCCTCCCACATTTTCCAAGAGTAGGTGGACGGTATATCTGGATGACGCGGCGCATTTGGATACCAAGCGAACTTCGTGTACAGAGAAGTGGCTTGGCTCAGTCGATCGTGGAGAGGTTTCAATTCTCGTGGTTAGGCCGGATGGTTATGTCGGTGCCATTCGGCGTATCAAGAATGCCAGTTTCGAGGATGGTGCCGCGGCGGCGAGTTGGCTCGATTCGTACTTTAGAGGCTTTCTGCAGATCACTTCTGCCTGAACTCGCATTTGAATGAAAGTCCTTCAATGAGATACTGTGTCAATTGTGTTGAGATATGAAGCCAAGTTCATTGGAAATCACGGGCTAGAAACTCCTCGTTCAAGTTTAGAAAATGCGCAACAACTATCGGGTCAGTATCCAAGAAACACTTGATCAGTTTTGCCTGTCAGAAATATCACTTTGGGTGCCAAATGCTCGATTGTCCGGGTCATACGCGCTCGCGTTTTATAAGGGAGAGTAGTGAAACTCACTTTGTTCAAGGCCGTCGCCTCGCTTCTTCCAGGTCCAGACTCACCGATGAATATGAGATCATTCATTATTGGTTCTGAAGCATTCTACAGTATCAGTATCCGAGTTCCCCGAATGTACCAAAGCATG